GTTGCATTTGCAGAGGGGCGGGATACAAATTATTATTATTTATTGTTATTGTTATTGTTATTATCATTATTGCCATTATCAGGACATGTGAATAAAGCATCATTTTTTATTCATGGGAAAGTCCCGAAAATAAAAAGTGGCACAATTTTGCTGCTTTATTCATGGGATAATGCCCTGATAATGGCGATGTTGGGGGAACATCGTCTAAAAATCATCCCGCTCTTGCAGGATATTGACGGAATTAAATGCGCTTTATTCACAGGATTGCCTCCCATGTGATAAAGTCCTAAGACTCTGGAGACCAGGGTTTGCTCTCCCACTCGGCTATGGAAACACACTGGATTACTCTGGATTACTTGAGACATTTGAATGGAAAACCCCATGATGTATTTGCCTTAATTTCGCCATAAGCAGGAAATAATTTGAAGGCATTCAACAACAATCATCCTACTCTTACTGCTGCCAGAACTGCCTCTTCTGCCCACCCAACCACTGTCTTACAAATACAAGTCCATCGTGCTGACTCAGAAGCCTCACTGATTTCAATGGAACTTTTTTGTTTCTTATTGCAGCCTTAAAATTAAGAACAGGGAAGAAATGAGCTAGCATTTCAGGGAGGAGAAAAGAGATGGAGTTTGTGATCTATTCAGAATTTGAGAAAGTGGGGAATTGCTCCAAAACTGGAGATCCTTTGCTCCAGTCCAGGGGGTAAGGAATTGCTGACTAGCAAGAGGACTACAACCTCCCTTATCCTTTACTGTGAGCCAGTGTAGTGTAGTGGTTGGAGTGTTGGACAACAACTCTGGAGACCAGGGTTCGAATCCCCACCCGGTCATGGAAACCCACTGCATGGCTTTGGGCGAGTCACACAGTCTTAGTCCCAAAGGAAGGCAATGACAAAAAGGTTTGCCTTAAGGTTGCCATAAGTTTGGAATGACTCGAAGGCATACAACAACAACAACATCCTTTACTATTGGCTATGTGAGATGGAGCTTTTAAGAAAGAGATTCAAAACATCTGGAGGGCAAAATGCTCCCCATCATCTATTCCAGTTGGTCTTGAGTTTCTTTTCAAGCTTCTGCTCCTCTTCCATTTGAAAATGAATTTGGTTTTCCATTCAAATGTCTTGAACACCCTCTAGTGGCAATCAGTGACTGAATTCAGTTTTGGAGCTATTTGGAGATGAATGTGACCAGGGTTGCTCCCAAATGGTTCAATTGCATGGAGCTATCCTGTCTTTTCCCCAAAATTTTACTAGATCTTCCAGACATTTGTAACTCTGCCATATTTCTTCACCACCACTGCTTCTGTATTACAGGCTGTTGTTTGGGACCAGAAGTGTTCTGTATGTCAGATTTTGGAATACCTGTATTTGCATAATGAGACTAGTATGTATTAGTATATTTGTATATACCAATGAGACTAGAGAGAGACTGAGGATCTGTGAAAAGGCAGGAATCCAAGCCTAGTGCTTGACATGAATCTGCACCTCCCACCATTTCACAGATCCTGACGTCTCTCTCCAGCTCTTTCCAGCCTTGCAAATATAGTACAGGTACTATACTAAATGCATATACTATACTAAAGTCTATAAACGCTCATGCTGCCAACTCCTTTCTATCAATTAGTCTCAAAGGTGCTATAAGATCTCTTTACAGACTAACATGGCTATATCTTTGCATAGTACAGGTACGCAACTCAAAATGTTTTCCATTTTGAAATTCCGGATAAGGGATACTCAATTTGTATTGCTTTTTACAGTAATAATAATAATAATAATAATAATACCATTAAGGGGGGAAAGAGGGAAGAGGTGCACATCGTTGGTACTGCTATGCTAGGATGCCCCCTAAAAATGGGACAATCTGATACAGGTTTCACATCTTAAAATTCAAGGCCACTTCAAAGAGCAAGAGGCGAAGGCTTACAACAATTACATATTAGCAGTGGTTTGCAAAGTGAGCAGTCCTGCCCACTCAGCACCATCCCGTTGTGGATTCTCTCATCAGTCATGGCTAAAATGACCAATGATCTTGTGAGATGAAGTTCTGAATGTGTGAAGGAGACCAGGTTCGAGAAAGCTGACAGAGGCTTACTTACAAGTGGTACTGATACTGGCACTTACAAGTGGTACTCATGGACTGAGGAACTCAGTGTGACTTAGTGTGGTGCTATTCAAAATGCTGGTTCATGGATTGGTGCCAGTCCACCACAAGTTTCCAGGAAAGTATGTGAATATGATAATAATGTGACATGACTATGATACAAGTCTTGATGTGTTCAGGGGAGGGATGCTGGACTACCACCCCAGAATGTTTGAGAAGCACTGGATTAATGCATGACTGAATGCATGATAAATATCTAGGAAAATGTGTTTTCAGATTTTTCCCCAGCAAAGAACTAGAAGGTTATCTATCTGAGCAATTTCCAGACTCTCTTTTGAATCTGATCCTGCTGTCTAGGGGATTCTGGATAAAGGCAAAACTTTTTCAAGCTCTGCAAAGGGACATCTTTTGTAACTGCTTGTATTTAGTAGGCCCAGTAGGATATTTGCTAGGTGAAATGGATGATCTTTCAGCACAAGTTACATATTAAGAAGAGTACCAACTTGCAAGAAAGGCTGCGATGGCAACCACATTATGCCACTTCTCCCCAATTTTTTAAGGGTAGCACATCAAAACTTGTGTCACAAGGATCACTCCCCACTCCCTTTGCTGCACTGCAGATTCTTGTTAGGCTTGCAGTATGGGGAACATGGACAGCAATGGCACAGGTCAGCACTGACACAGAAAGAGGCCAATTCCAACTCCTGACAGGCTACCAGAAAGAAAGAAAGAAAGAAAGAAAGAAAGAAAGAAAGAAAGAAAGAAAGAAACTGACAGAAAAGTTTCACATGAGAATATTAAAAACAAAATGTCCTCCATCTCGCAGGTCTACTCTAGGCCACAGTATTTAAAATGGATTACAGAAGAATTGAACTACAGGTTCATACAGCTATGAGATTTGCTGTATGATTTTGGGCAGGTAACTTAAGCTAAGCAGACTGTCAATGAATACCTGTAGCTGTAGGTGTTGTAGCTATATTTTAGAGGAAGGTACTGGCCAAACCACCTCTGAGTAGTCCTTGCCTAGGGAAACCCTATGAAATTCATGGGATCACCATAAATTGACAGGTGACTTGAAGGCATATATGTTGGGGATAAACAGGAACGGAGACTCTTGGGAGTCAGGAAAGTAGAGTTTATTTTACGCTGATGGGCCTCTTAGACAAGTCAGTTCTGTGACTGGAGAGTTCCTCCCACAGCTAATCATCATCCTTATATACCATCTTACACAGCTAGTTTATAATTACATTAACACATGCATAATTCAACATTTTCATTGGTTATAAGATATAATTCCAATCCCTCTCCTTTCCTGATTACGTTACACTTCTACTTGTCATGCGTGAACAAATTTGGCTTTCTTTCTTTACTCTCAGTTCATCATCAATGTTATCTCTGGCTGTGAAACAGTCTGCCTGCCATCAAGGTTGAAAAACAATATTCCTTGCTATCTTTTCCAGTGAAGCTGAAACTAGAAGCCTTTTACAAACTGCTCTGCAAATGCAGTTTTAAACACAGAAAATGAGACCCCAAGGGTCATCCAATCCAGTCCCGAATTAGCCATGAGCTTTGTAGTTTCTTTTACATTATTTTATCTCCCTTTTCTCTACCTAAATTACATCCCAGGGTTGTTATAAACTGAGGCATACCACTTTGCAAAGAACACTCAGTCCTAACATCATGATACAGCTACTGCATATCTTCCAATTGTCTCGATTTGGCATGGACAGTCATGATTAACTCTTTTGTCATCCTCTTTTTAATGCAGCTTTTAAAATGTCCCAGTTTCTCTTTCCTCCTCCCACTTTCCCCCTTTGTCCTCAGTTTACTTCAATTGCTGCAAACTGAGTTCAACGTGCAAATGTAGTTTCCACTCTATTAACTTGGCTGGGGGAGAGGAGAGACGGGGGTGGAACATTGCCCTGGTTTTCCTCTGTGGAAATGTTGGGGGGCATACTGCTGCTGTGGAACTCAGAAAAAACATCATACATACACAGCGGGCATAGAAGAGAACAAGAAAGGAGGGCAATGCCCACAAATGGATTAGGGCCTGATGCAGGTAATTAAACTATGGAGATTATCACCAGCAAAAATTAAGCAAGTTACCACTGCCAGGATACAGCCACTTACAGGATGCAATTGGAAATTATCATGCTAAAAATGCCTCCGATGCTGCTGGGCGACTGCATTGGCTCCCAGCTGTGCTCAGCCGGCTAATTAGAAAACTCGGGAACCCGGCAGGGGTAAGTCGCTTTATTTTTGAATGTGATAATCTTCTAGGAATAGGCAAAATTGCCAAAAAGAAGCATTACTTCATTTTGTTACAGCTTTATTCCAAGAACGGATCACTACCATCACTACCAGCAGCATCACCATCCTGAAAGGGAATTCAACAACATAGCCATGTTATAGTCTGAATCAGTATACAAAGGAATATTGTAGCACCTTTGAGACTGGCTAGGTT